CCAGGGGTGGGCAGAAATTCTAAAGAAGAGGAGCTGCTCTGAGGCCTCACACTCATGAGTTTGAAAGCGTGATGAGATTGGGTTCCTGTCAGAGAGTTTGTTAGAATCTTCCCCCCCCCATCTCTTCATCTGGAAGACAGGATTCATAACAAGGCCCTTTGGTGAAAGTGCTTTAGTAGCCTTGGATGCCACCTGCCATTTTCTTTCCTGCAAAGTGCTGAACCATGCGCATTTCAGTATGACTGTAAAGTGCCAAGTTGGTGCTGGAATCCAGTGAGATGTATTCTTATTTTCTTGCTTTACTTGTTTTCACTCCTGATGGCTCTCTTTTCACACTCTGCAGCTTCAGGGAGAATTTAACTGTTCGTCTTCTAGTCGTCAAACATATGCTTCCAAAATTTGGTAACTTAAGTGAGAAAGAAGATGGGTCTATTTAGGCTAAGTCTAGCCCTTTGAAATTGAAGGGTATTTTTATGGATTTCCTATAATTTGTGGTGATTATGGATGTTGCTTCAGCATTGACAGAGAGGTTTCCCTTGATAAACCATTGCTAGAGGATGCCAGAGGTTCATTGGAAATGGAATGCAATGAATTTAGGGATCCTTTTTTTTCAATCTGCTAGTTTGATAGGTCTTCATTGCTTTAAGAAATGCTTGAGAAAAGGGAATATCTACTCTGGTTATGGGAAGAGATAGAGAAGGTGATAAAGGACCAAGTGGGGATTGAAATGACATGGCCATGTCAAACAACTGTTTGACAACTCAATTAGTGGCTAGGTTCTCTGTCTCAAAAGAATGTAGGTGGTGATTGCATAGAGATAATATGACAGTCTACTGGTTTCAGATTGGAATCTTGCTCCTTTTTGTTGATTTCTGAGCTTTTGGCCTAAGGTTATCACGGATCAGAACCAGCCAAATGGAACAGTTACTGGAAAATATGTCCCCAAGAATCTGTGTATCTTCTTTTGGCTGTGGGTGTAGAACAGTAAGAGTTCATCATGGGCCCAGTGCCTCATTTGACTCTCTCTGTTTAGCATATTAGGTATCCAGAAGTTTCGGAAGGCTACTATCATGGCTATTAGGTGACTGCAGAAGTATTGAGGACTTTTCCAAGGTGGTTGAGGATCCCAGTCTGCTTTTTTATGATGTAAATTCTTAGTGTAGCTTATGATGGGCCTGATGCTGGGTAACTATGTGCAACCTTCAACTTGGTTCCAGTGCCTAAGGTGAGTGATTTACTGCTGGGTCAGTGGGTAAGCAATGCCAACTTTATTTCTTAGATTGCTCCTAAAGGATGGATGGGTAGGGAGTGGGGTAGTTTAATGATTGGATGATTGAAATTTCAAGCCCACAGTCTTTATTCAAAATCATTAAAATCAGATGCATTTCAGAAATCAGATGGCTTAAAATTGTTTCCGATAAAAATACCATGCTCGGGGAGTATTTTATTTAGACTCCCAATGGGGTCTAGGGCAACACCCCATAATCAAAATGCATGGTTTTATGAAAAGTGTACGCATATTCCCAGTAAGTGGAATATATAAAAAATATACAATAGCTTCTGTTCAGTTCATGCCATGTTTTGCAACCAAATTGTTCTTAAAACCATCATATTTTCAGTTTTCTGCTTTTTATGCCTTTTAGATGTGGCAATTGCCAATAAAGTATTGTGGGCCTGTAATTGTCATTGATGTTTTGCTCTTTTAATCAAGTTAATCCACAGTGGGGGAGGGGAAGGCAAGTTCTTGACGGATATTTCCTTGGAGAAGTTCTTCGTTGAGGTATTGTACAAGTGATGGACTCCAGGTCATATTCCTTTCAAGATTCTTTCTAATTTCTGTTCATGTTTCTCTTCCATGTAGCAGGGATTCAAGCAGGTGTCTTTCCTTAGTGATTCTCCTTATTTCATTTTCAGTATAGACACTGAAATAGCCAAAGAACCAAATGTAAAGAATATATACAAGTCCACAATGTGTCAATTAATAGAAGCTTCCTATAAAACAGAAATACAAATCAATGATTTTTAAAACCATAGCATTAGAATAATGTAGGTGAAAGAACTTTACAAATAAGACTATATAATCTCCAGGGGCGGCCAGGGAGAGGCCTGGTGGCTCTCTCCCTCGTCGCCGGCATTCATGGTGGGCTCAGGACGCTTCCCCAGCCCAGGTAGCCCAGGCCTTGGGGCAGGCAGAGGAAGAGGGCCAAGCCGTTTGATTGATTGGATGCCGTTTATTTCGTTCTCCCCACAAGCCTGTTCCAATCTCTCTGAGCCCCCCCATTCTAGTCTCACATTTCCCCTCATTCCCATCTCCTCCTGTCTCTCCAGCTCATCTCTCCACACTCCATCTCTCAACATGGGCTGGCTCTCTCCATGTCCCTGCTCCTGTATCCTACATTCTTCCCCCTCTGTCCTCCTTGCTAGTCCCTCCGCACCCCATCTTGCTGCCCTGTTCTCTCTCCAGCTCTCAAGTCTCTCTCAGACTCCAGCACTCTGGGCCATACTGCACCCAGTCAGGTAGCAAAATCAACATAAGAAAGCCCTTCCTGACTGCCCATCTGGCTCAAGGGCTGGGAAACACCACCTAGGGGTATTCCAAATCCCTTCCTGACTGCCCATGGGCAAAATACCTCTAAGGTGTTTTTCTCTTTTCCTCAGTCCAATAACTCAATCAACATGTTAAAGGTAAAAGGTAAAGGCCCTCCCGTTGATCGTCGAGATTTGCTCCAGCGGGCCCAGTAACGTCTCCATTGGAGACTTTGTTGTTACTGTGTCTGGCATATCGAATACTCTCGGTAGCTTGCCGGGCTCTCCGAGAGGGGCGGAGGAATCGAACTCGGGTCGACCATGTTGGCCGCTTGTAAGGCGAACGCCCTACCCACTGTGCTATCGCTCCAGCACGTTAATATTAGTTATTTTTGTATGGACACAGTAAGAGATACATTGAGGCTTGTAGGGCAGCTCTCCTAGGAACATCTTGCCATAGACTCAGAGTACCATGCTCAGGCCAGATTAATCATTCCTAATCCCAGCAGGGTCCAAATCTAGTTATTACTTTTTGGATCATGACAGCATTTGTCCATGACCATGCTCTTAACTTATAGTTAAGCATTAGGCACTTTGCCAGGCCCATTTCAATGCCAGGGTAGCGCATAACTCACCGCTGACCCTGGGTCCATCCAGTCCCTTGTTGGGACCCTGCCTTTGGTGGTGCTGGGATGTAAGGGCAGCTTAGACTTAGGTCAAGAGAACAGATGCCCAGGAGGAAAATATCACTGAGTGTCAATAAACTCCCGTGTTACAAAAGCATTTACTGTCTTTCTGTGTCCATACAAAAAGGATATTGCTCTGAATAAACTATGCAAAGGACTTAAGGAGAAGAGGAAAACAATATTTACAAGTCAACAGAGCCCAAAGAAAGAAGTTACAAATAAACCCACAGGAATGAGAGCACTGTGATGGGAGCAGCCCAATAAACATAAACTACCAGAGGCTATGAAACCAGTGTTATCCTACATATGACTTACTTTTTATCAGTCCATAAGTCTTGCTTGAATGTCTTTGACCCCTGTAGCAATTCAGGCTGAGATCTTTTACTGGCTGCTAGGAGTGGTTAAATCCCCTGGGGAATTTGTTAAATATGCAGGTTCCTGAGGTCTCAGACTTGTGACTCAAAATTCTTTGTGAGAAGCCCAAGAATTTACATGTTCCACAAACTCTGCTGTGGTTCCTTTGTCCTCCCAGACATTTGAGGACCAGTACTTAGGTGAAGGCCCAAAACGTATATTGCTGCTGGTTTTCAAATACTGTTAAGTCAGACCTGTGTTCAGCCAAGTAGCATGGAACCATTTGCTTCTCTAGGACACAGTTATTTTCATTTGGTTTGACGTATGAAGAGAATAGAAGAGTCAAACTACCTAGTCATGCTGAGAAACAAACTAGTAAAATCAAAATTTTATTTTGAGGGTCAGAGAGAGTGGCTCATAAGTATATCACATGTGGCCAATCCTAATGCAATATTTAGCTTTATTGTGGTCCCCTGAGTACTTTCAGGCGTGATCCCTGAGCACAGCCAGTAGCAAACCCTGGGTACTGCCAAGTGTGGCTCCAAGACCCACACCAAAACAAAAGTGAAAAAAAGTATGTTTTGAGTCTAAGGATGACAGTGTAAACAGGATTGTCGATAAAACTGGGATATGTATGGGACTTGTACAGCAAGAAGTTTGCTTGCTTTGCACATGGCTGGCCAAATTTGATCCAGGGCATCACAAACTTCCCCAAGACCTACTAGGATTCATCTCTGGTTGGAGAGCCAGGAATAATCTCTGAGCACTGGTGGGTGTGACCCCAGAATATAAAACCAAAACAAAAAATTGGGATGCCCAATTATATTGGAGATTATAATAAACAGTGAATAATATTTAATGTATGCATGTTCCACATAATATTTAGAGTAATGCTTATACAAAAACATTATTCACTGTTTATCTGAAATTCAGATTTAAACTCACTGTCCTGTATTTTTCTTTGTTAAATCAGACAATACTGGGTAATGCTTAACCCACTTTTCCTCATGAGAGACAAAACAGATGATATTTTGTCCTATGCTCAGAATCTATTTTTTACTTGCCCTGGGTGAAATCTTCTTAGACTGGTTACTTGTGTAAGACTGAAGTTCAAGAGTTGAAAAATTGAGTGTCACTCTTGAAGTTAAGAAGTATTTAAGAAGTTAAAGGCACTAAGGAAAACTTTCTCCATCTCCCCTGCCTCACTCACCCAAGCCCACGCCCAGATGCACATACTTTTTGTATTTTTGCAAATACAAACATATATACACTTTGGAAAAGCACCTGCTTGCCATTTTTGTTATCTCTTTTGCTGTTAGCATTTGAATGTTTCATTATTATTAGTATTACTGTTACCATGCTTATTATTATATCATTGTCTCACTGAGTCTAGCATTTTTTTGATAATCATATTTCATTCTTTTTCAATTGCAGATCTTTCTCCTGGCCTGCCCACCATGTCGCAGTGCTATCGTCATCTTCAAGTAAGGAAAAAATGATTTTTTGTTCTGTTGGCATTGCTTTTCAGGCCATTTTGTCTGTTTGATAACAAAGGATGACTCACTTTCTCTATGAATACCTTGGGTTTGTACCTCTTGTCTTTGGGTTCCCCATGGGACAGAAGTCTATGAGGGCCAAGTGTAAAAGAAATTGTATATATAGAATTGGCTTTTATCAAGGCCAACAAATCCTTTTGAGTGATTCCTTCTAGTGGTTTATGGTTAAGGTATTCTCCCTTACAAAGTTCCCCTTCTTGCAAGAATTTCTGTATTGTGGTCCACTGTGGCTATGATTCTTTACTTCCCAGGGCTTTATTTTTGTGACTTTCCCCCCTCTGAAAGTGCAAACTGAAATGAGAGGAACATATCACCTTATTACAAATACTGACTTCTTAAAAATAGCAAGCATCAAATTCAAATCAAATCTAAGTCTCTCGGGCAAGTTCACTTAAATGAAATTCTCCAGAGTCCCGGAACCCTTATTTTAACCATGAGTTGTGACCATCTCAAGTATCAAGCCTTTTATTAGAGTTGCTAATGAGAAGCTAAATCGACCAAATTAATCTCATCTTTCTCCCTTCTTGGACTCTCATTTTGGATTGTTTCTGAGCAGTGAAATGGCCTCAAGCCAGAGAGAGGGGCAGGAAGTAAAGAACCCAATAGATCCTTGGATAATTCAGAGTGGTACAAATGGCTTTCTGATTTACTTAAATCATTAAAGTGTTGGGTAGGGGAAAGTATACCCCATTTGCTGCTTCAAATAGCTCCTTGGAATAGCCATTTAGTCTCTTGCCTTGGGTGAGCAACTTTCTGCTGGATGAGGAATAATGGATCCTGATTTTATGTATCTGAAACTTAGCTCCTGAGCGGGAGGAGTATTTAATCTTGTTTCCTTCCTTTGATTTTTCAAAATGAGCTCAATTTTTCAAGTGTAATGTTTTAAGCGCCACATTTATTAGTTTTATTTCATTATTCACTTAATCACTTAATCACTTAATCCCCGTTATTCATCGATTTATTCGAGCGGGTGCCAGTAACGTCTCCATTCATCCCGGTTGCGTGCTAGCGTAGCCCAATGGTATCTGTTCGTTTTAGGAACATGTAGAGCCTCAAACCGATCATTTAGGGTCTTGACGAAGAAGTCTGACCATTTCATTATTAGGAAGGTAAAAATTCCGATTAAAGAAAATGTAGACACACCTAAAGAAGAAAATGCACATCAAGTGTAATCCTACCACCAGGAGATAATTTTGGTTTTTGCCCTTCTTTTTTTAATAAGATAAGATCACGTTTAGTTTTTTTTCACTATATCTTTTCTCAATTAAAGTTAATTTATATATACATCTAGACATACAAAAATCACAGATATGGTTGCTGGATTAATTTTTTATGGCAATACTTTTGTTTTTTATTTTCCTTGTTCTGCTTTTGCCTTTCTATGCCATCCCAGCATATTACTACACCAGTATGTCCACTTCTGGTTTTTTCTGTGTGCTCATAGGCAGGCATGTGCACATACTCTGACATACACATATACACATAGAAGCACATATACACACATAACATGAGTTTGGGGATGTTTTGTTGTTCATTATTTGTTTTTCAAAAGTAAGTCTACCATAGTTTCATTATCTTAAGGTTTTAAAATATTTAATTGATGTGCAACAATTTAGTGGTTCCTTATTAGTGAACATTTACATTCATTCTTTGCAGATTTCTGCCACTACTATCAATGCTGAAATAATATTATTCACCTGTCTGAATATACTGGTGCTTTTAACTCTTTATAAATAAATAAAAATACATATATTTAAATACATTATATATTCAAATTAGATATTTTGTATTGTTTTATAAAACCAGGCTGCTATAATTTGCTTTTTCTTTTTTGTATTTAATGTATAAGAATTTTTTTCATAGCCCAGCCAGCATAAGATGTTTTGGTTCTTTTATAATTTTGATGGGCTGGAGTATAGCACAGTGGGTAGGGCATTTGCCTTGCACATGGCCGACCCAGGTTCGAGTCCTCTACCACTCTTGGAGAGCCCGGCAAACTACCGAGAGTATCCCGCCCGCACGGCAGAGCCTGGCAAGCTACCCGTGACATATTTGATATGCCAAAAAATAGTAACAGCAATTCTTACAATGGAGACATTACTGGTGTCTGCTTGAGCAAATCGATGAACAATGTGAGGACAGTGCTACAGTGCAGTGCTATAATTTTGATAACTTAATGGATGTATTTTCTTCATTACTGATGAATTTCAGTATTTCACCTATTTTTTAATTATTTCTGTTATTTTCCCATTTTTCTGTGAGTTGTTTATATTTTACTTAACTTACAAAAGTTGGTTGAATAATTTGGATATTTGTCCATAATCATTGGTAAGTTTTCATTTACCAAATATGTATGCTCTGACTTTGCTGATGGTATAGATTTCTCATATAATTTTTAAAATACATTTTCATATCCAAATGCAATTTTAATTATTTAATTTCTGGGTTTCCAGTCTTGGCTAATGGACTGTAATAGCATAATATGTAATTACTAGTTTTCCTTGTGAATTTAACTACTGTATTTGTATTCTATTAAAGTTTTTTTATACTAGGATCCATTTATGGATTCTCTATTGTTTCATCTGTTTGTGTACTTTCTGGGAGGGATTTTTTTTTTCCCTTTCTGTCCTACCAGGTTTTTATAAGATGACATAAGACAGACGTACAGGAGAAAAAAACAAACTTAATTTCATACACATGTGAGTTCAACAAAGACATGAGGTGGTCCTGCAGTCATGCCATTAGGATTTATATGCCATACTGGGCTGGGCAGAAGGGGCTCCAGGTCTGAATCTTCAAAGCCAAGGAAGACAATTACAGGATGAGAAGAGCATATGTTTGTCATGCTATGCTGAGACAAAGCAACCAGAGAAGACTGAGCAAACAGGCCTGCTAAATCATCCTGACCCCCAATCCACTGCAATTAGCTCATAGTTTTTGTCTTTAACCCTGGTGCTAGCTCACTTCCTGGGACAAAGTTGCTATCTAAATTATGTTAAGCAGTTAAGGAAAGGGTAAAATAATGCTTTTCTGAATCAACTGAGATCTAATAGCAGTTAGCTGAAAACAATCCATAAGCCAGGCAGCATAGTTTGGGGGCATTTACTCTGTTCACTTCCCCCAATACCTAAATCATATTGATTTCATTACATTAGGGCTGGAGCGATAGCACAGTGGGTAGGGCGTTTACCTTGCATGCAGCCAACCCGGGTTCGATTCCTCCGCCCCTCTTGGAGATCCTGGCAAGCTACCTACCAAGAGTATCTTTGCCCGCATGGCAAAGCCTGGCAAGCTACCCGTGTTGTATTTGATATGCCAAAAACAATAACAACAAGTCTCATAATTTGTTGTGAGATGTTATTGGTGCCTGCTTGAGCAAATCGATGAACAACGGGAAGACAGTGCTACAGTGCTACATTAGTTAAAAATGTTTTCCTTGGCCAGTCTTTAACATTTTTTTCTTACATACAAATTTTAAGATCACTTTCAGTCAAATCTCCTGCACAAAATTGGGTTCTAAAATTAGAATTGCATTAAATTTGTATTTTTTGTGAGAATCAATTTTTTTTAAATGATACAGCTCTTTTAACCTGTCACTGTCACTGTCACTGCCCTCCCGTTGTTCATCGATTTGCTCAAGTGGGCCCAGTAACGCCTCCATTGTGACATTTGTTACTGTGTTTGGCATACAGAATATGTCATGGGTAGCTTGCCAGGCTTTGCTGTGCGGGTGAGATACTCTCAGTAGCTTGTCGGGCTCTCCAAGAGGGGCAGAGTATTCGAACCTAAGCTGGTATTTCTTTCTACTCAGATCTTGCTTTGTTTTTTGATTTTATTTATCCTCTTGTTCTTATATCCCCTGTGCCTTTATGATACATTTATTCCTGGAGAATTAGTAATTTTGGGGAGCCCATTATGATTGGAATGTTTTCTTCCTTTACTTATTTCCTTGGGCTGGAGTGATAGCACAGCAATAAGGTGTTTGCCTTGCAAGCGGCTGGCCAAACTGGGTTCGATTCCTCCGCCTCTCTTGGAGAGCCAGGCAAGCTACCAAGAGTATCTTGCCCGCAAGGCAAAACCTGACAAGCTCCCCGTGACATATTCAATATGCCAAACACAGTAACAACAAGTCTCACAATGGAGACGTTACTGGACCCGCTCGAGCAAAATCGATGAACAACGGGAGGACAGTGCAGTGCAGTGCTGCTTATTTCATTGGTAGAATTGGAAAAGTTTATTGATTTTAACAATGGTTCTTTTGTCTAGCATTTATATAAAAATTATGTTAGTTCTAACATTTTATTTTGCTTTTATTCCTCCTTTCCCAAGGTTAGTCATTTTCTTGTATTTTTGTTTTTGCAGAAACTCAAATACAGAGTTTTGAAAAATGGTGCTGGGGGAAGGGTGATTTCTAAAATCAGTTTCAAAGTGTATTTGTTCTTTTGTGTTTGCTTTTGGGGTTTGTTAAAGAGATAGTTTTGAAGGAGGGTGGTTTCTGTATTTTACAGCTGTTTTCTCAATGTTTATTGTTGGTATATATATTTCAGTTAAGTTTTGGTACAATGAGTTGTTGATAGATTTTCTGATTTGAACTGCCCTTGCGTTAATTATCCTGTCAGTCCTGCTAACTATAGTACATTATAGTACATTATTATTTTACTATATTGTTAGAGTCTGTCAATCTTTTATTTAGAACTTTCCCTCAGTTTACCTAAATGAGTTTGAAGTATTTTTTTTCTGGTAACCTTTTCATCAGATCTAGTGATTAAAATTATGAAGGTTAGGTAAGATGAGCTTTTGACTATTCCTTCCTTTTTCTCTGCCCTGGAGTACTTTAATTGCCCTTAGAAACTGTGATTTTCAAAGGTCAAGTAAAACCCAACCATGAAACTCATTTGGTCTTGGGGTCTTTTTTAGTTGGCAGACTC